AGTTTACATCTACATTCATAAATCATGAAATAACTTCCACAAGGTATCAATTTTGCTCTCTTATGATTGTGTTTCTGCAGTATAAATGTGTAATTAAAAAAAGCACACCGCTTTACATGGTAAATTCCTATTTTGATTCCATTTCTGTGACAAATGAACTTGCTTTTAAGCAAAATGCTGAGTCTACAGAATCATGTGCATAAAACAAAAAGTTTATACAAATTATCTCCTCTTCGTATCAGTATCACCAATTCCATACCTACCTTTCTAGGTACTAGTAGTATCAATTGTGGCTGCAGCACAAATCAATTAAGAGTGTACTGATTTAAGCCAAGCCAAAGTGGATCTTAATTACATGGACAGTAAGCAAAGGCAAAGGGTGGCCTAAAAATCAGAAGGGGAGAAAAAAAAACCCAAACACCAAACCGCACCATCCTATCACATATTCAAGTATATGAAATACAGTTGTTCTCCTTGTAGAGCTTTCTTGCATTGTTTTCTCTCTACAAGCTTTTGGTGCAAAAAAGGATACACAAATATGTTACTAGAAACATCAGCTTGAAGGTTTTAACTCCATATCTGCAGCTTATTAAAGATTTAAGAGTTTAGGATCTGATCCAGATCTTGCTGTGAAAAGACTCTCACTGATTCAATCCATTTTAGATAAGGCCCCAGCATGATTAAGAACTACTTTAGTTTTTCTGCAAAATGGATACTGTAGACACTGCTAATCTTAGAATTATACCTTCTAGCCAGGAATAATATCTCGCGCAACAAATGATCTATCACAGCTCTATTCAAAGTTACAAACAGTAACCACAAGGCACACTCTCTAAGATACAGAAAAATAGTCTAATCAATAATTAATGGTCCCTCATTTACTACTAGGGTAATAAAATTTGTATTTGATCTACTATTACCCTTCTAGTGTTTAATTTTACCAAAAGATATAACTTTTTTTCAATTATAGATGTTTAAAAGCATTTAGATATGTGCACAAAACAGTCCGTTATATCTTAAATCAGTATAGCAACCTAGAAAAAGTCATACGGAAATAAACTTAAGCCTTCATCAATATAATATCCACCAGGCCACACAAATTACTGACCTCCTATATAACATTAGATATTAATGATCAAAGACTAAATCTAGATTGTCTTATCTTATTCATCATCAAAATAATGCTAACATTTAAAATAAACACATTATTTTTGCTAGTTTTTGGCAAAAGAAATCTAAACCTCTTCAGAAAACTCCTGTGCCTTCCAAGGACTGCAGATTCTACTGCTTAGAAGAAGAGACTTAATATCTTATTTCAAAGATAGTGCATACGTTCTTCAGCAGTGTGAATGAGTGACTCACTAGTGCTCTTCAATACACTGGAATAAGAGAGCGGAAATGGAGATGGTAGAATTCAGTACAGCCAAAGATGCTGACTGTCTTAGACAAAAATCTCTAGTGTCAGAAAGAGTCACTTTGTTAAAGGTGCAAAGACAATCATTGCAAAACATAATACATGCAAGAACTAGCAGGTTTATGTCAAAAAGGAAGAAGAGGAAACCATAAAAATTATCATTCTAATCTTTCTATGGACTTCCCACCATATTCTTAAACTAATGCTGATACTTCATTAAATTGAAGTAAATTATCATAAAAATTAGCTGCTTGATGTCAAATAATTCCAAATGCAAAGAATGTCCTTCTTCACAACATCTGTCCTATTAACATAATTGAATAAATGCAATTGTAAAATGGAAATGGAGAAAGATAATATGCTATACAAGACTGAGTTTAGGTCTGAACATGGTGAAGTTCAGATTTTAATTCTGTATCTGTCACTGTTTCTGTTGAAATGGTGAACCAGCATTTCCCTCTTTCCAGGTTTGCAGCAGACCATTCAAGAATCAGCATGGAGAAAATTCACGTTGTAGATTCTCAGGTGTCGCTTCCAAACTTCCCTTCTCTGGCTGTGTTGCTACAAGTTTTGGCAGCCTGTCAAAACAGCAACTTCTGCATTCTCCTGAGCCAAGTCCACTACACTGCCAAAGCTGCAGCAGGGAAGTCTGCACGTGGAAAGATTTTTAGTGCTGCCAGAACAACTACTGCATGTGAAAAGGAAGTTACACCAAATGAGGTGCCTCCCCACAGCCCAATCCTACCTACTGAGAGTGCAAAAGGATTACAACCACCCACCCACCCATACTTCTGGGACACCACATGGGATCAGATGACTTTACCTTCTAGAGAGGACAACAAGGAGAATTTGAGGCTAGAACACCCTGTCTGAACACTCCCGACAGCCCAGGTCACCCTCAGCTCTCAAGTAAAGCCCGGGGCTCAGAAAGTCACTGCTATGCTTCCAGTGGGCAAAACCGAAAGGTTCAAGTTTCAAACCCCACCAGCATTGAGAGACTGCTACCAGAGGTGTGCATGGTAAACTGAGCTTTTACTTTTAAGGAAGAGAAAGGAAAACACTTAAAAGGCACCAATGTTAAAATAATATTTACATTACAGAGTAAAGTCACTGAAAGTTGAGAAATGTAAACTTTGGAAGTGTTTGAGTAGCTGCTGTTTAAGCAAACTCATTTCTGTATTTTTTTTTAAGAATGATTTCAGACAACATATGCAGTTACACGGTCATGTGGTATTATTTCTACAAGACCTTTTGCTCATTCAGTGATCAGTAGAAGTTGTGTGGACAGCCATGCAGTTTGTATAGTATATAGATATCAATTTCTTCACTAACTACAAAAATACACCCCATGTAGTCAGTAATTTATCTAGGGTTAAAATCATTGAAGTTTTTAGATACACCATTTTTAAAGGTAAGTTTTAAATTTTCAGATGTTTCTACTGACCAATTAACACAGATGTCAAGCTGCTAGAAACTTCCTGATGAGAAGAAAAACTGAAATTAGGTGTAAACCTATGGTACTGAAAGTTAAATGCATTTGGATATCAGTATGAAATGGTTACCAAGAGACAGAGAACTTCTATAAATTATTATATTTTAATGGACTTGTTTTCTGCTAACATGGAAACTTCTTACGTGAGAGTTCTTGGTGGCAGCGCTCTTTACATACTGGTTTCCACAAATAAGAAATTGCTGTGGATGCCTGATTGCTTCCTTTGCATTATATCTATTTTGTAAACAAAGGGGCTTTTAATAATCCACTATTGCTCTCAAATAACCCTGTGCAAAGCATAAAATGGACACATTTTTGAAAACGGGTGAGTGAGTATTCAATAACTTAACCAAGATCACAATACTGGCAGGTTTTGAATAGTATGGTCGTGCCTTATCTTTCTGTTTAATTCATCAAGTCTCTAAATACACTACTAAAAAGGTGTCTGTGCACCTGGGTAGGGGTAATTATTAAGTAACACTGTCAATTCTTCCTTTATGTAAACATACAGCAAATACAAAAACAATTTATGCTTTCAAAATGTTAAATAATAGATCCTCTGGTTTTAAAAAGACAAAACTGAAACCATACTTGTAGCAGTCTCTGTGTTTATAAAATATTATGCAACTTCAATCTTTATGCTCATAGTTGAAATCCAATTACAGAAGGCAATGTGTTCTTTTGACAGAGGAAATTACACATTCAAAATTACAATTTTTTTTTCAATAATGTTTCAAACTTCCCCTTGAGAATTGAGCCCTGCTGCATTCCTAGATAAACACTAAGCATTTTTGGAGTGAAGTAACTTCCTCACGATAACCACAGCAATATTCGCTTCCTTACTCCAAAAATCTATAGATGCAGAAAGAAAATGAAGCCTTGGATATGTAACACAGGTCATAATTCCAAACTATAGTATTAGTACTGAATCCATCTCCCATTAAGAGCAGGAATATCCTTCAAAGATTATTTTATTGAAATGGTTGAAGTTTTCATTTTTAACAAGTTTGGACATTGCAATAGCTGGGATGCATTAGCAGAGAATTTGCCAACAAAGTGGCAGTTTAATCTAAATCAGTTGACTGGCAACTCTAAAGAACAGCACTCTGTTTCAACAACTCAAGTTTGCCAACACCCTCTTAAAGCGCTTCCAGCTACACTAAAAGGACATCCAACTATATGTTAAATCTCACGGCAAGTCAGCAGGATTTTAGCCTCCAAAATAATTCAGGCAGTTAAATAAGACTTTTACATCTTAAATACCCTTAGTTTTAAATAGCCAAGTAGCAATCAATACTTTTTTTTTTTTCTGAAATGGAATTTGTATTCCACACTTTGTTTCACAATTATTAGCTTTACAAAAATTAGGGCTTAGAAAGAAATAGCCTCAGTACTAAACCTGACCATAAAAGAAAACTGAAGGTAATGAATGTTTGTAATGGTTTCTCTCTTTTTTTATTTCCCCCCCCTTCATTTTTCATCTAGCTCAACAAGCGTGTATTAGTCTTTGAACATTTACAACACCGAAGTATCAAGCACTAAAACTCAAGAAAGATGCAAAATGTACAAAAAACCAAGCTGAATAAGTGAAAGTTAATTTGCATATGGCTCATAAATATGGTAAATGTTCATGGCAAATTTTAAATGCTAGTAAGAATTGTACACCTCATACAACTAGAAACTGTTTGTTTCTGAAAATATTGATTTCATATATTCCAAATGATGAAAATGTAACTGCAGTCAAATTCCGAAAGCTCCAGCTTAAAAATCACCAGAAGCAGAGTAGTTCTCTTGGCTTCCATCAACTTAACTTTAAGCAAAAGGTTAAACACAGAAGCAGACATATGCACACTTTGCTCAAGTAGCAGTCAGGGTATCTCAAATTCTCTGTACTTCTCAAGTATCTAACTTATTAAAATGAACCAGAAATTTAGGTGGTATGTGGAAATAATGTTCAGATCTAACATCTGAAAATTATTTTTCCTCAACTTTCGAAAAATAATCACTTTTTCCCATCTACCCCTATCTAAAAAGAAAAATCATTACTGAATACTTTCAGTGCTATAGCTTTTTATTATACAACACTGATTTTACCTTTCCGAGCATTCTTCCAAGAAAGTAGTAATGTCGGGCGTAAGAGTCTCCAACGAGCATCTGTGCAGCAGGGTTAGGGTAAAGAAGTCCCTCATTGGTGGTCTTAAAAAATCCCTGGTTAGGGTTAAATCCTGATTTAAGTAGTTCATTCAGAAATTCTCGGAAAATTCCACCACCATCAATACCAGCTTCATCAAGACCATGTGCATTAAGTAAGTGAACACGAATGCGCTTTTTTAGGTCAGGTTCTGCAGAGAAAGGAGAGACAAATTCAAATCCAACGAGCTGCTTGAATTTTGTTTGGATAAACACACACATAACTACACATACAAACATATCTACACTAACTTTATATAAAAAATTGAACTAGTAAATAGTAGCAAAAATCTATTACTGGCTTGAATTTGGGAATATTCAGTACATGAAACTCGCTTTGGACAAAGGGTCTTGCTTTAGGAGTCATCATCAAAAGATGGAGTGGAAAGACACTAGGTAGCGGACAAAAAAAATCCTACAAAATATTTTAGAGAGGCCCAAGAATAATTTGAAAATTCTATTTATATAAAATATTGTGAATGGAAGGTTCAACTTTCTCATGTCTGAAGGAACCGTCAAAAAGTACTGCATTCCCTTAGAGGGGCTGACTGCTAAGCTACACCATTAAATAATATTATTTGTAATTGAACTTAGTATTTTTGATACTTTGAACTACGCCATGTAATCCCAGTGAGCAAGGTGTGGTAAAGATGGCCATGTTCTGAAGATAGATGTTCTGCTTGTTTCATAGAAGGCTGCTATTTGAGAAAACAAGCAGTTTTTAGCCCTTGAACTATGTGTATGTAACAGCAAAGGAGGATCTTTTGCTCAATTCACTGAAGATTTCTGAAGATCTAACCAAATATGCAGAGTTTATGCAAACCCTTGCATTGACTACACTTGTGTCCCAGCAAAGCAACCAGTAATAAAAAAAAAACAACTTTCTATCGCTTCCATGTGCTAGAAACGCACACATTGTGGATGGACAGATGACGTTCATGAAAGGATCTTCAACACCCTGTAGCAACAGAATTTCTCCTGAACAACCAATTCCTCACACTCTCCCACAGCAAAAGCCTCTACATCTACTGTTATCTTCCCATTTCAAACTCAGCTGTTACTTATTCTTCATTCAAGTGAAATGCTCTCCTGCGCAAAAGTTCTGATAGCTGGAAATAGAGGATGGCCATTTTTAGCCACAGGTGCTGCATGAAGTACACTCATCACCATTCAAAACAAGAAAACAGAACACTGGCAAAAGAGAATCTCAAGCATAGAGACATGCTTCATCTGGAGACTCTCGAGATATTGAGGATTAGTGTTAAAATTTTGTATATAGAAAATGTTGGTTTAGTGCTTTTTGGGGCCTCATGAAGAAAATCAGTTGTCTCATCCTTTGCATGCTGACAATCAGATTTATAACAAGGAGGGAAAAATGGTCCTAAAACAAATTCACATGTCAAAACTGGTAGAGGTGGATGCCAAGTTAGTGCAACCTCTGAAAAGAAGAGTTCAGTTTTATAACTCATACAGATAGAATGTAACTAAACTGTTATGGGAATCCACTGGAAGCTATTATGGAATATTCTGAAAATTCCAGTCACAGGGAAAAAAAATAAGTTCAGAAATGCTTGCACTTTATTAAGTATATGACAACCAAATAAAAATATAAACCCACAAGAACTGACCTAGTACATTTCTGCTATTCCAAGCTTGTTTTCTTAATGATGTCAGTTAAGGTACTACAGAAACATTAACTTTGAACAGCTCTCTTCTCAGGGCCAGTAGACAAACTGGATGCCTCTTCCAAATCAATGTTCTTCTTGCTCTCCTGATCAATTCTAGGACCTCATCTATCAGCTGTTCAATCTGCCAGATCGATTTTAATCAATTCAGACTATAGTCTTGAAATTGTGTCTCTTGCAGTTGTCAGGAATTTCTTCTTTTCTGCTCTCCCCCATGGTACCTGACCCACTCCAGAACTAAAGTTATTTTTAAAAAATCTTACTGTCTCAGAACACCAGCTTTTTTTAAAAAAAAGAGGTCCAAACTTCTGATTTAGTCTTTATTGATTCTAAATAGCACCAGCACTGCACTAGTACAGTAGAAGATAGCACTGTATGTATATGTGAGTGTGTATATGTGTGCATATACATGGTGTGTCATGCAGAAAAACAGACTTTGGTGGCCAAGTACCACTATGTCTTATCTGCACCTGTAAACAAGACAGAAATCTTCACCTAGAGATTACTTTACTTCCAAATCCCTTGCTACGAGCTTATTGGGTTCTCCTTTGTCACTGTTTAGGAGTCACTTTCTTCCCAAGAAAAGGCTGAAAGCATTATCTGGAACTACATACATGTATATGCAGATGAATTTTGTATTAATACAAAAAGCTCTTTTTGCTGAACAGAAGACTTGACAAGAATCACAGAACAGCTCAGGTTGGAAGAGACCTCATGGTGCAAAATCCCCACATTGAAAGCAAGGCCAATTTCCAAGTTAGATCAGGATGCTCAATGCCTTGGTCCATTTGAGTTCAATGATGGAGATTTCACAGCCTCTCTGGACAGACCATTTCAGTGCTTAACAAGTCTCACTGTGAAATGGGTTTTTCTACATATGTTCAGTAAAAAAAAAAAATTCCCTTACTGCTACATGTCACCACTGCACCTTATCAAACTGGCTTCTGTAACCTCCCACTTACAGTGAAGTTACAGCTTCTTCTTATATGCTATGTGCTTCCGTCCCCTGTGTCACCCTGGTGGCCTTCTGCAGGACACGTTCTTGTATGTTAATGTCTTTTTTTGTACTGGGAAGCCCAAAGCTGGACACAGTTCATCGGTGCTGAAACTGTGAGCTACCTTCTTGCTAATACAGCCCACTATGGAATTAGCTTTCATCTCATCTAGGGAAATTTTTGTTTGTTCAATTTGTTGTCCACTAGGAAACTTGGGGTTCTGTTTTCTAGCCGGTCTGTACTGCTACATGGGGTTACTACAGCCCAAGTACAGGATTTAGCTTTGGTCTTTCCTAACTTCATGAGGCTTCCGTAAGTCCTTTTCTTCAGCCTGTTAAGGGCCATCTGAGTGGCAACCTGACCTTCCAGTATATTGACTATTCCCCTCAATTTCATGTTGCCCATGACCTCGCTAGTGGTGGAATACAACCCAGTACCCAGATTGTCAGACTGCAGATTAAGTTTAGGAAACATGCATTCTAAAACTTCTTTCATAGTTCAATAAAACTACATTAAGTTGAAAAGCAGCCTTCACAGAAAACATGCTTCTCATTTAAAGCTATCTTCTTACTAAATGAATAGGTTGACTTGCCTGCTACTTGACATTGCCTTACTGAAAAGCTTAGACTGCAGTTTCTGAATTTTATTTTCATACATTTGGGGAAGAGGGAGGGGAAACGTAACAGACTTAACATTTTTTTATTTTCCAATTCCATTTTATCTTTCTCTTTTTAAGAAACCAGTTAATGATTCATACTATACTTAGTACTACTACTAAGTACTACTACTAAGAAACTACTCCCAACCACTAGGAAAGAGGCTAAACAGTCAACTGCACGTATAATCTCCAGGTGATTATACAGTGACATCTCCCAATTAGCCTTTAAAACTTTGCAAGAACAGGACAGCTTAATTCATACTTAATTAAAAAAAAAAAATTAAGTCTCAATCTGTATCTTTTAGGCAGTTACAGTTTTAAACACAGGTACTGAAATACAAAATCCTATTTATAAACAGAATAGTATCTTTAATACTGCCAGAGTAAAGGAAATTTAGAAAAGGCATGATCTCCAGCAATTTTATACAAACCAAGAATACCAACACCTCCTCTTCTTCCTCTCTAAACTAGGCAGTTCTCCAGGAGGGATTTAACGTGGCACAGCAGGTGAGATTCACATGGAAAACCTCAAGTATTTGGCAAACATTTTTTTAATATGCAAAAATACAATATAAATAATAAGGACTTTATTTTGGCAGGTTTCATCTACATTGGAATTTTGGCTTCTAGAGCAGCCACTCTCACACAAATTCACACTAAAGGTATGATTTAAATCGATGTGGTAAAACATACTACTACATACTATCACCATGAAGTGCACTGCATTATCCTTACCAGCCACACTGTACCTAGCAAATCCTGTGCAGTCTAGATGCTTTTGTTGACACGAATTACTGAAGAAGGTAATATATAATGAACTACATAGATAAATATACAAAGGTACAGTTATTTGGACAAGTAAATGGGAAGAAAAGACCCATAAAAGTAGGTTTGAACTAAGGAAGGGTGTGTTAAAGAGAATGAGACTGCAATAATCAGAAGAAATGTGTTTGGATGAGAATTACTTTATGTAAAAATGAGGAAATTTAATTTTGTAAGGACTTGCACACCTCAGAGCTGATTACTTCTAACGTTCTACTCAAGTAAGCAAATATGTAACTATACTGTAAGAATGGTTAAATTTTATAAACCAGCTAATGATAACTTAATTGTAAACCTACCATTTTCAGGTGAAAGTTTATCATAAGCATCTTCATAAATATAGTTTCTTCTGATAGTGACATTAATTCCATCTAAAAATGGCCCATCTCCTTGAACTTCTTGTTTATCAGCATAGATCAGCCTTTGAAAAATCTGTTAAAATGAGTGAAAAGAGAAATCATGTCACTGCACAGATCTAAATATTCCATGAGAGATGTTTATTCACTACTATTACTGTCCTTTGAGTTGTTTCTGGGCACTCATTTTCAAGTGATTTGCCTTCTCTCTCATTGAGCTGTAGAAACGTAATAAAGAGCCATGGCCCAGGGGAGGGAAGGAGAGGGGACAGACATTCAAAAAACTTTTTTGTGCTAAGATATCACCCTCAGTTCTTTCTACATAAAACGTCTACAGATGTTGGTTCAGTGACTCCAGCTTCCTCTCCCTAACTTTCAGAGTTCTGAAATGCAAAGTATTCAAAAACAAAGGGAAAAAGTGACATGAGCACTTTGCACACACAGAAACAATCCTCAATACCAGTAAACAACTTTCTGTCATTTTTGTAAAACTTAGGAACATTCCCAGTAACAGAAAATTAGGTATCAGTTCTCCTCTCAGGAGCAGGGAGCAAATAATTCAAAACAAAATAATGCATAGCACTGCCATATTAAACAAACAACCAGAACATCATACCAATTCAAAAAAATAATGACAGCTGAAGTACAAATTAGAATTCACACTGACCCTCTGCAAGTTTTCACAACAGGAACCTGTTACAGTTCACCTGAAGAGTAGCTGTAGCTAACTGTGTTTCTATGCCAAGATGTAGAATATTTAATATAACCTCAATCCAGGGAGCCTGTTTCCTACATCCTCTCTTGCATCTTTCCCCTATTCAGTAGATAGTCTAGTGCATTTTCCCAGGGATGTCATCTCCCAGTAGTATCACAGACTGCTTTCTTAACTAAGAAGATTAAGAGTCTCCAGGGATGTTTAAAAATTACAAATTTACCATGAAAGAGGAAAGTCTGACAAGTCTCAAAACTACTGTTTGTATGGACAACTGTAGGTAGTGGAGAAGGTGCTCTCCAACTAGGAGGAGATAAAGTATAGACCAGTGTAGACAAAGCCAGATTCTTCCCTAAGGTACACACAGCAGGAAAACAAGAGATAATAGTCATAAGCTGCAGAAAGAGAAATGCTGAATGGACATAAAGAAAAAAAAAATTCATGAGAGAGATTAAGTATCAGAAGAGATTACACAAAGAGCCTGTGAAATGTCCATCTCTGGAGATAGTCAAAACTCATCTGGACATGTCCTTGAGCATCCTGATCCAACTCTGAAGTTACTCTTGTATGAGGCAGGATGTGGACTAGAGTACCTTCAAAGGTCCCCCTTCTTACCTAAATTTTTCTACGGTTCTATGACATCAAGACACACAGCCACAGACACCTTTTTATGTACAGAGCATGAGAATATGCTCACCACCATCCTCTTTCCTGAAGCATGGTGAGATACGGTTTATTACCTACACACCACTAGAGATGCAAAGAAACACTTAGAGGTATATCTCATAGCAAAATTTTTCTTGATAACAGTCTGGACTCCTACATAATCCAATGTTTGTGCATATTTTAGTCTTGAAAGTAAGAACCCTAACGCATAACTGAAGCATGTACAATGACTTCAGACTAACACATGGAAAAGTAAGCAATGCTGACTGAGGTACACATCATAGGAAGTAGCATCACCATAGGAAAGCTGACAAAAGTATGGCTTAAGTAAGTGAGAACCAAGGCACTTGATACAAATTGGATTCATTACCTCCCCCAGATAAGTATCAGTTTAAAAGTTGCACATCAATGTGCCTTAAGGCTAAAGAGCATACCATCCCCCAGGGTCAGAAGGCTGAAGAGCCTATCATGAAACTGGACTCTCTAATTGCTTGTAGAAGTATCTAATATCTAGTAATTCAAGGTAAAAAATCTCATTAATAAGTCAGAAAATGAAAGGCCACATGGAAGAATCCACACACGGAAACAGCATTGAGCTGTATTACAACATTAAATTACAGTGTAATAGATGGCAATTGAAGAAAAAAAAAAAAAACACAAACACACCACACCACCAAAACGGGACATACTCGGTCCAAAAAGCAGTATAGAAGGATCTCCTCTTTGAACTACAAAAGTTCAGTCTACAGCTTTATCCTTCTCTCCAACCTCTCATCCAATTGTTATGATTTCAGTTTTTGTGATAAAAACAAAAAAGTTTTTATGAATTCCAGAAACTTAAAATATGTGCATTTCAATATAGCTTTAAGAAGTCCAGAGATTGTAGACAGTGACTAAATCGTGACATCCAGGCTGCTGCTTGAAGTCACTTCCAATTGTTTCCCCATTATCCCAGTGCAATATTGCCATACAGTATTAAGGTGTTTTGTTGGAACAGCTGTTTCACAGAAGCCAGGAAAAACCACTCCTTTTCTACCAAAGCTGTCACTGTCTTTTTTTGACAAGTACTGATTTACTTTCCCTATGGAACTATTCTTCATTCCTTTGATGGTGTCTTGCAACTTAATGTTTCCAAGACATTTGGGGGAGCTGTTTTTAAGTAATTGATACTATTGACAATAAAAGCAGCTGAGAAAAAAGTTATGGGTAGCAGAATAATAGCTTTTAAAAAATATATATATGATGCAAACTGAAATATGTAACAGAACTAAAAATTACTATTTAAAGTCTAGAAAGCATTCAACATCAAATCAAATAGTACAAGAATCTTGCAAGTTTTAAACTACATACTCTATTAAAGTTCAGCTACTCAGCTATGAATGCAGAAATTTAATCTCTAGGCGTTATTTTCCCAAAATGGACATCCATCATCTCATTCTGAGTAAATCCACCCACTGCACAAAAGTCTCCAGTCTTGACCTTGCAATCTGTTCATTACAGACACACAACTAGTTAGTGCTCTGCTTACCACAAGAGGGTGCAATCATGTAGATCAAACATTGAATCAGGACTGCAGTTTATTGTAAACATACAACCGCTCTCATATATCTTGGAATACATGTTTTTAATTGTAATGCAATTATTATAAAGTGTAATATAACTAGTAAAAAAAGAGAAAAGTAAATAAGTTCAAATGTTCAGTTGCCACATGAGTACTGTCATATCCTTCTGCAGGGAAATGATCCAGTTTCTACTCAGCTAAGTGCTCTTTTGACACTTACTGAAAACAAAAAACTAAAAAACCAACTCCGTATTAAATTAGAAATTAGGTACCTTTACTCTTTCTTCAAAAGGAACTACAAAAGGTAGCTCTGTCAGAATGGCAAGTTGTCGTTCTTCAGATACAGAAAGAGGTGCTGGTTCCAAACCCACTTAAAATAGAAATAATAATTTTAAAAATTTTGGAAAGAACATTTTTAAGCAGTTTATTTTGTATCAAGTGACTCAATTTACTTTGTATAAAAACACATACATTAAAATAGTTTCTTTACTAAATAGTCACACCAAGCCTTACCTTTCTTTAAACATTAGTTTCTGCAGGCAAACTGAAATATAAGTAGCAAAAACACACTGAAAACAAAGTATGTATAAAGCTATGTACTTCTGCATTTTTTATTTTATTCAGAAGAAAAAAAGTTATTTTCTTATTACTGATATTTTAATTTTTCAATTAAGAAAAAATACATGACAGAAGACAATTAAGAAGTTGCAAGTAATTAGCATTTTCATTGCAGGAATACTCAATATTCCCATCCCAATTATCAAAATAGTTTAAAGGTATTGTGCTTTCAACTACAACATCTACTTTCAAATAATTTTAGGCATAAAAACTAAGAATTACACCAAATCTAATGAAACCAACAGAATATCTTTCATTTGTTTCAATGGGTTTTCTCTCCCAACAGCAAGGTCACAGTGATGACATTAAATCCTAGCCAGTGCAGAAATAGTGAAAAGAACATCAAGAAACTGCTCAAGAAAAAAAAGTTTAGAAAAGAATTCAAGAAGCCACAGCAACAGAGAGACTCAATCGCATGCAGTTCCCAAGCTACCATGCAGCACCTTTGAACCTTCTTACATGTACAGAAGGTGTTTTTAGGAAACAACTCAACTTTGGGTAAGGCACAGTAGAAGTGACAATACTGCTCTAACTTCATGGGAAGAAACTCAGTTGCTGAGCACATATCTGGCTATAAATTAATTCATTGCAGAAAAAAAAAAAGGTATGGCTTACTGACTAGACACTGGTTAAAGGTCCACCTAGCTTCAGTCTACAGAGGAAACAAACCCCACAACTCCTTAGTTGTTTTGTTTTTATGTTTAATAACCACCTTCTCGAAAAAAGGCTCAGGAGTCTAGACTATTTATAGACCATATTACACAACTGAAGTAAATGCTTCACGTTACTACCCAGTCCAGAAGTTTATGCTGACAGTTTCAAGTCTTTCCTTTGGCTCCTAACTGCAGTGACCAGCATTTTGTTGCCCTTCTGCAACTGGACATCACTTCAACATTCTTTTTCTTTTAACTCAAAGCACTGTAAGTAGGAAAATTTTAAGCACCAATTTAACATGACGTAACCCAAAACATCACTATACTTGATGTATGTTCATTTGGGGCAGGTTTCAACACCGCAAGCCTTTGGAATTTCTGATAAAATGCTTATCTGTGATTACCCTTAGTTTACTTAGTAAACATTTTTAATTAAAGTCAATGTATGTAGCCTATTAAGCTAAGGGTTAAAAGCATTTTAAATAAAAAGTGCATGTACAGCAAAGGTAAACTACTGCATGACTTCGACAGTTCAATTATTCCAGTCAATTAGTCAATTTTATCTGCATTTCTCCATCACAGCTTCTTTCTTTAAAGAGAAATATGGGATGGAGTCATCAATACAGAGGGCATTTAGAGTCTGCCATTTAAGTAAATGAAAAAGCACAAATAAACATGACCATATGTGATTCAGCTGTACTTTCATGCTAATTGGCTTTAACCGGTATGGAGTCAACAGGGATTAAACAAGTCATGTGCATATTGTTACCTGCTTGTTCTCCCAGAGCCAAGTTGATTGCACTTTTTTTAACCTGATTTCATATGAAAACGAGGTTTACACAAACACACTGTATCATCTTGCCTCACCATCTTGCCTCCAACACACCTTTTCAGCTAGCCATTTGAATTTTAACTTTGACGGAGAATAGGTGATTCAAAAATACTAAGTTTTGTGAAAATTTTCAGCTGGATGAAGAAGAGAAATTCCTTTAGTGACCTGATCACAGAAAGAGCAAGGAGAGCTCAGTTATCTGCTCTGTTCAGTGTGTCAGCTTGTCTGACAGCCAGGCAGCAAAATGAGGGCATGTAGCTGCTCCACACCTGCCACAGCATGTGAATTCCTTATCCGCCAACTGCCCAGACCAAGGCAACTAATGAAACGGAGGGAACTGGTGCTATTATGGGAAGACAGACAAGGGAGAGAGCTCAAGATACTGTATTTATGAAGGGAAGGAAGACTAGCAGAGTAGTAGCTTAGGGGAGAATCTCAAAGTAATAGATGTGGAACAGGTCTGACAGTGGAGAACATCAAGAGTACAGCTGTCAAGAGCCATGTAGGTCAATGGAAGAAATGGGGATTACTGATGTAGAGAGTCCGTACGGTATACTGGATACAGGCCTGTTGAAGCCTGGCAATTTTTGCTAAAACACTTGCCTTTAAGGTTTCATATTATCAATCACTTAGAATAGGTGATTTCCAAAGAGAGAAACTGAACTGAGAAAACACTCGGTTCAGAATTCTGAGGAGTAGTTACACTGGACCAACTAGCTGTTATCTGGCAATTAGACTAGTAAGGTAATCAAAGTAACCTTATACCATCACAGCTATTCAAATAAAAAATATCATTATAAGAAGTCCTTAGGTTTCAACCTTGGATGAAGCCCTTGATTCTGTACAATTCTGTGGCAGCATTCAAAGGCTACAGTCTTCTCTAAATGATCTACTGTATCTGGCTAAGATAGTAGACAGTATGGACTCTCATAGATGAATCATTTTGCTGCTTAAAGCCCTCATTTTTAATTCATGATTAAATCTTCACAAGTATTAGTGATTTAATGATTATTTTACCTGAGCATAGCAAGGTAAAATTCTGGAATAATGATGATACAAAGGTATGAAAAGCTGAAAGAAACAGACTGTCTACACGAGAAAGTATATTGGCACAACTAAGCTAGTGTAAATTTACCCCAACTGCTAAATAAATCCAATTCTCTCCTCTTTGGAAGTTCCATGAAGTCCAGATATTTTGAGTAATTAAGGGGTTAAGTTTCTGCCTTATCTAATTAGAGACGATATTTATAAACAGTAATTAATACTTATCATGGTACCTAAAGCTTGTTTGTTACAGTTTAAGGTATAATAAAGAAGTTTCTTTATAGTATACAGTAAAAGCAAAACCTCAATGCTTTATATCTTCTGCAACTTTATTAATTTTGTATCTTATGCAACTGCCTTTTATATATATTAATACATGTATTTTTAACACACATCATTTGTCCACCTCATCATTTCCCCTCATCAATCCCAGCAGAAGCCTAGGGAAAGCTGCTATACTACAGATATTCTAAAGACCTACACACAAGTGTATACCAATATACATTTTTTTAAAATACCTGAAACAGAATTATGAAAGACTGCCTTGCTTTTGGCTATAATTTAGACTTTTATACAAAATACTCAACTGAGCTCTATAAAAGGTAGATTTTCTTTGCATAAGGCAAACTGTTATTTTGACTTAGTAATGCAAAATTGCATAGACAGTAACTTACCATCCAAAGTAGATTGCAATGGACCTATTCTTCCCATTCTTCTGACTCTCCAGACATGTCTAGCAGATGGCACATACAGCTGTGTAACCTAATAAATTAACAGTATTTTACAGTTAAACGTTATCTAATTACATATTAGAACTTACTATTACATAGTAAACACATAAAATTGTCACGTCCTAGAGTGTGTCTGAATGCTTAAGTATCTTAATTTCTAATCCCTCCTTCTTATACTTGTGCCTTAAGGCGGAGCTGCAAAATTAACAACAATGTAACATAAAGTCCGTGTATCACTTAAAAATACCATGCAATGTTACATTAAATTCTGGTATAGAAGATACTAGAAAAGCAGAGTTTGAGTTTTGAGATGTCAAATAAATTCTGTTTACTTTGTATTTAGAATCAGGTTAGGATCACAGTTTAAGACTACTACTACTTTCTCTAAGGTGTGTAGGCACTATTTCCTAAGATCTATAAAGAATTGCCACACAGAGAAATGGAAATCCTGAATACAAGGCAAACAAATGTGCAATCATCAAAAATAAACAGAAGAGTTCACTGTTAACTATTGTGTGCAAGACTTCCAACTGTTAAGACATCTTAATAGTGCAAGGTAGTCTGAGGTGTAACCAGCCTCTTAAGATCCCAGTTTTCAATGATTCAAAGGATGAACTTGCACATTCATATTAGCATTTTTTTTTGCATGCACATACACATTTTTTTAAGCTCAAACAATGCCATGTTTTTCAAAAGCTCTTGGGGGGAGGTAATTTCTAGGTGAGGTAAGTACAGAAAATGCTCCTGAATTTTATTCTGGAGGAGAATTTTGAGAGGTTTTTCCCCCAGTATAGAGCTACTTAGAGTACTTAAAATAACCAGAAAATAAAACAGAGGAAAATGCCATCAGATTTTCAGTTCTCCTCTGCTATAAATGCAGATGACTTACACTGCTGCACTGTTAAGAGTGGGTTCTACTTTATGGAGTAGAAATGTGATTTAACACAAAAGTTTCTTAACAAATGCAAGACTTTTACATTAGAGAAAAGCAGCATTACTCCAGGGTTTAAACCACACTAAATCTGTGCAACATGAACATCATTGATACTGTCAGGAATAAAACACTTTACCACTGAAACTTTGGCACCTGTAAGGCTATGCAGAAAAAGGATATCACTCTTACCTTATCTGCTTTAATGTTTTCTTGTTCTGAGAGCCAGTGATTTGGTGGGCAGAAATTTCTCCTCGTATCTCTAGATTTTAACATTTTCACTAAGTTTGTGATGACCTAGGTGTCAAACACACACATTCAATATGCATTTAGCACTCCAAATGAAACTGTATAATCCACAAGCAAAAACCTTGTTACTTATTTTTAACTTACAAAAACTTACTCTTATACTTAAATACCTTGGAATGCAAGAAAGTAATTGTGGTTCACCTTAAGGTATCAAAAAAACTGGCTTATTAACATCTCATTCCAAAACCTAAGAACTAGGACTACCTAGGACTAGGTAATCATAGGGCCCTGCACACCTTAAAATTTGTATGCCAGTCCAGAGAAGCCTAAACAAATCATTACCAGCATTAAATTACTTATTTAAATAAAGTAACACCTAACCAGGTCATTCATACAATGGTCTTTTATACAGGTTCTTTTTCTTTTTTGCTTATATAGGTTTTCAGAAATTAAATGTGTAAATAGATGTATGTTGTAGAAGAGAGAGCTATACAGCTATTCTTTACTACCTCTCATTCAAAAACTGAGATTCCAAACAATTTGGCTGATTTGTAGGTTTTCTTTGTCCACAAGAGGAAGATTCTTAGATTTCTGTGCATCGTGTTTCAAGGAAAATGCTACATAGAAGAATGGAACTCCTCATTGCCATCTCAAGACAAAAGGTCACTGGATCACTCCATACAAGACAAATCTGAAGGATCAACTAGTAAATAGTGCATATTTCTGCCTATAGCCAGTAAACTTAACTAGCCAGCACAAGATCCTGTGACGTGCTTCCCAATGGCCAAACTGTACAAAAGCCAACATCAACTCCAGAAAGTAGAGGAGAGGGCAGAAGCATTAAATTGACAGCAAAACATAACAGCAAAGGTTACATCTCTAAAGTACACGGAAGATTGACTACTGCTGGTTGCTGCATTAAAAAACTAAAGCATTTCCAACTAAAGGTGCCTCAGAGAAATCGTAAGTATCTGCTGACGATATCACCTGACTGAACACTGAGGTGATTTATCCATGTGAAAAAAACTAATGCTTATATTTTTAAGGGCAAAGATCTATATCTCAGAAGACACTACAGACTTCTTTTCTTGTCAATGAACATCTTGTTAGCATTTTCCAAGCTAGCAAGAGAAAAAAAAAGATCATCTCATTCAGAAGTAGCTACCAATTTATCAAATTAACTGTACTTTCAAAGATCTTGTCTCTATTAAAACAGATCCTAGTGTGACAAGCTCAAGTTGTTTTTACTGTATGGTAAGCCCTACTGTAAGATTGTTCAAGGATCCAACGTACCAGCTTCAGAAAGTAAAATCACTCCTGAGAAGAGCCTAGCCCAAACATGCCTGAAAGCAGAGTACAAGATGATCATTTCCAAAAAAAGGATGGTTACCAAATATCCTTCTGATGATTACCAGAATCACAAAAAGCCCCTAAAGACCTAAAAATACATGTATGGGGTGGCTAGTTTTAATTTTCATTTAATATGCACATATATACTGTATTATTGTAATGTTATTTACAAACTAAAATGTGTTAAGAGCCCTTTCCCTTTAGTGTTAAGTTAGCAAGCCCTTTTCCAACAGAACTTATAAACATTGACCTGAAAACCAGCTAGTAACAGTGGTTTAACAAATTTTTGCTTATCAGCTGAACCATAGTGGGTGATGACGCATACATCCATACTTCATACAACTGCATAAGCTTAAATCACTACGTTTAATTCATTTTTATTCACAAGGAATTCAAATGATAAAAGGTAGTTCTGTCATTATTATAACCACACAGTCACAAAATGAGAAAACTGAATAGCTAAGTCGTTTATGCACATCTTCATAACAAAGCTGGGAGGCTGAGAAAAAAGGTTATCATGGTCACTAGGGTGTCTTTGCAATTTTAGTGTTTTTTCTTGGCAGTTTCTTCCAATCCATTTAAAAAAAAAAAAAAAAAAAGTAAGTCATCGAGATACCAAGCTAACAACTATTCCATCTCAAGCACAACTGTCATACTTGGTTGCATGCCTTCTCTGCAAAGCAAAACCAACTTAGCCCAACACTACATAAAACATAATTAAGTGGAATCAATAGAATATTAAATTACCAGCCTAAAAGACATTATCACTGCTACAATGAACAGCCATCTGTTTTGCAACTTAGAACTACAGCATTGGAAAAATAAGTAGGAAAAAAACCATATACAAAGCTTGCTAAAAGTCTTAATGGGCAGGTGTCAAGAGTAACAAAGAGTTTAATGGGCCTTCTAACTGTTCTGTGCCTACCATGTTTTAAGATCCAGTTTGTAAAGTAACATCTTGAACAAAGACAGAACAAAGAAGAATGCTATTAAGGGAACTGTCTGATTATACAGGAATTTTCATCACCTTGCCCTTATAAAATTCACTACAGGTTAGATGAGTCACAGAAGCTCTGTGGTACCATTACCATTATACTTAAGAAAAAGAAAAAAAAATGAGAAAAAAAATCAGAAAAAATTATCCACGTGAAGACCATGCTAATAAAATATTTTACAAGCAGTTAAAGAATCCTTAAAAGAAGCTGAATCAAATGAGGCAAGACTGGAGTTCCTTCTGCATAACAAATGGGTACTGAGAACACTAGCAATGTAAACCCAGGACTTCTTTCTAAAGTATTTTATAAGGAAGTATTTTACTGAAAGGAAAGAGCCATTTCCATAACTAGTATTAAAACGGAGATTTCTTTCCAACAAAGCACCAAGTGCAAGTAACATTCAGAACTAAAATTCAGCAAAAATTAACAACTAGATTTCATAGGATTAACTTAAGATAGAGAAATAACCCTTTTATTTGACAAAACCCATTTTCATGTACTCATAACTTAAGTCCTTCTGTTGAACCTGTAACAGCTGACTACACTATTCAGTATTATACCAGGTCAAAGAAGGGGGATTCTGCTGAATAAAGACACTTTCACGTGTAAATTTTACCATGTCAAAGACCTCCAATCTGCTAGCAAATGAGCACATCATTGTCAGCAGTCTCACTGTCCTCAGATTTACCATTAGCTCACAGAAGAAAAGCCTATATTTGTGTGTGTATAAGTATATATACACACACACAGAGGAATGTATTTCATTAGACACCAGTAGCATGGAAAATATGCAAAACAAGTGTGAGAAATTAAAATTAAGAAGAAAAAATAAATTAAAAGCATAGATGATAGAGAAGGAACATGACTTTCTCTGAAGGCAGCTTGCAAAAGCTTTAGAAAAGATAAATCTCTCATATTTGACACGGTGTAAAAGAAAGAAAAGAATTTTCTACTTCAACACCTTATATTTATGATGAACTACTTCAGCTTTATTCTAATGATCTGGAAGAAGATATTGCTGCCTGCTCACTGGCAAGAAGCTATTTTGAAGCTGTCCTCAGGAATGACTCAATGCTGTGTACAGTAGTCTTCTTAATGAGATGAACTTTAGCTGTGTTGAATTTTTATCTGCAACAATATGTTTCTGAAGGAGCAAACAAGGGATTCTTTGTTATTAGCTACTTTTTTGGGTAGAACCAGAGCCTTCGAGATACCCTCAAGATTTACATTTGTAATTCAGCTAATGGAAGACAACCCTGGCTCCTGAAAACTGTAAGAGTACACCAAGTTTAGACAGTTCCACTAGTTTAATTCTTAACTGCCAAAGGGGGACAGAGTAACTTGGGATTTTACAGCTTTCTGAATGACAGCAAAAAATGACCAAATTCACCTGAAATGTAAGCTTATAAAAAGATCAATTAAATATGACAAACTAAAGAAAAGAAATAGAAGACGGCATGATACAAACTGCATACATAAAAACACCCCTAGCGCACTGTCCTTCTTAGAAAAATAGACGTATTGGGGTTTTCACTTGTGACCTTTAAAGCGAAAGTTTATTTGGCAATTTAAAGACAAGTAATTGAATTAAATTGTGCAAACATATATTAGATCAATCCATGCAAATTACAAATTCAGTGGTGCATTAGGACTGTATTCAACGCAATCAAAACATTATCAGTTACTCTCTCTGCTATTAATGCTTATGCTCATAAGTGAAATGTGTTGTAAAATCAGGCAGAATAGGCTGGATAGAGGCTATCTTAGACTTGTAGAATGAATAAGCATTCCTTAATTAGCCCATCAGGTTAAGTGCAAGCCTTAATGGGCCTTTCCTAAAGTCTAGCATGACATCTTTCTCCAAACATGGCCAAGAAGAAAGTTCCATTAGCAATATTAATACAAGCTTAGTTGATCATTTTCATTCAATTAACTTCTTTCAATTAAATAGATAGCTTGACAAAAGCAGTGATAAAAGACCTGAAGGGACAGCTGATGACTCGAACTGAACATTAGTGTGAGAGAGGTCACCAGTATTAAACAGACTGTAAATCTAGCATTCAATTTGGAAAATGCATTTCTTCTGCTCCCACTTCTTTAATGAGCAATTTTAGCTGACTAGATGTGTTTGCTGCAGAATTTTCATGACAAGTCAAGCACTTCTTTTTTTCAGCAACAGTTATATTAGGTTTTTTCCCTGCCAACGTTTTCAGCTTCTCTTAACTCATGTCTTGGGTAGGATGCCACAGATAAAACTAGCAGAAATACATTGGTAGATATCCAGAAAACATACATTAAGTTTACATTTGCTAAGCTGGATTCACCATCCCATTAGTATTCCAGCAAACCCAAGAGCAGTACCAACTTTTTTTTTTTATTTTATTTTATTTATTATTTATTTATTATATTTATTATATTTATATTTTTATTTTAGCAGAACACCAACAAAACCAATGCAGCATGGTACCAATGTAGTGAAGCCTCTAATACAGAAGTACTTGAGTAATCACACTATTTGGTTAGAAATGCACACATATATGAAGTTTTGATGACATGCTTAAATACCTTGCTGAATGGGAGTCCAAGTTAAAACCTAGATTTTCTACAGTAACTTTTTTCATAAACAGGATAAGCAGGAAAATTAAGAGTTGCCAGAAACAAAAAAAATTGCTACAGTTCTCAGAATTTAATTAGTCCAAGTTTAGCATATACACCAAAAAGCAACCTTCCCAAATCCATATTCCTTGTAACAACTGTATTAAAAGTTTAACTAGAGAAAAAAAAAAAACAACCCTCATCTCCTATCTTCAGTAGAAGCCTGAAAACTTTATTTAAATATTTTCTGAAAATTGATACAATTTACCTTGAATAACTGAATCCACCTTTTCTGTTCAGTCTGTATACACTGCTGCATTTCTGTATTTTTTGTTACTCCAACACTTCTAAATGCTGCAATATATTCCTCACGAACCTCTGGTTTTGTTTCTGGGTAAGCCAACTTTATGATTCCTAAACATGCATCTCGAAGGCAGCGTGATAATATTACAAGCTCTTCTAGTGTAAAAGGCATCATTGATGATTGTCTTTGACCTACAACTAAATAAAACACAAGTTTAAGTTTCTTTAAACTACTTTTTCTTAAACAATTTGTTATTAAAAACACACTTATTTCACTGGAACTTTAGTTTCACACACAAAATCTAAAGGTAGAGAAAAGAAACATCACTCAAAAAGAGAATGAGTATACATTTATAAAGGCAATCAGGTCTTGCAATTGTTTGCAGTCACAATGATTTTAATTACAATATTCTCTTATTCTCTTTTGTGAATCCTGCTATGTTAAATTTTTACATTAGACTACAAGTTCGGTCCAGAAGAACTTCACTCTCTTCACTAACTCATTAAAAACTGTCATGATTACGAACTTCCATATCAGACCCAGAAAAGCTAGGGTTCCCAAAGTGCAGACCATCTTTTTTTTTTTTTTTTTTTTCTCTTTTTTCTAAATGCAATCACCATGAAAGAGCCAGCTGACAGCTGAGTACTCCAGGGACTATCAGCAAGTCAGCCCAGAAGAGCCTTCCTCACAGATGTCAGCAAATCATTGCCCAGGGAACTCCGTAGCGTTACAGAAAAACATTTTGCAAAGCACTGCTATTTAGTATGCTTGAAACTCACCTTCTATTGGATCACCAAAAAATTCATTATCGTGAATAGAAATAAGTGAATGACTAAACAAAGAACTAAAAAGGTAGAAGAGAGGGATAATTCGACTTGAGTCTTCTAAAGACATTGGAGAGCCTCTTGAAATCACTTGAAGGAGTGGCACCATAGACCTTAAAATATAAAATGCGAAATTAAAGAGATGGTTAATCGAATACTCTAGAAAAGTATTAACTTCAGCATTCTAGTAAAAAGATTTAGTAGTAGTTCCTACAGCAAAATAAGGACAGTGGTCTCAGTTAAATAACTACTGTTTCCCATTCTTGCAAAATAAGGTTACTCTGTAATTTCTTGTCACTATAGTATCTCAGCGTCTTAGTGATATGTGAACTTTGGCGTTAACCATTACAGACTGCAGATTGTTGCAACAGAGACACCAAGCAAAGAGTAACTAATCTGTATGTCAGCACAGAACAAATCTGTAGGTCCAATGCCTCAGTTCCTGGGAACAAGCTTCTGCCACCATCAATTTCTGGACTAGTCAAAGTATACGAGATAGAACTCACATACTTGGGATGAAGTACTTGGAGCTTCAGTGTTTGTTATATTGATGCTAGTAAGCACTCAAAAACTACAGAACATCCACCTTATTTTAAATAATGTTTCTATTTATTTCTCTGTAATTATTTTAAACTGTCCAATTCCCAGGATGTTGCCCAGTTTTATGAAATCACAGGAGCTAAGTAACCATTACAATTTTGTTTTCAGTCATCTGCCATGACCACTACTGTACTACAAATTGCCTCATTCTCTTTTCACTAGATATGCTCTACATTAACAAAGACTCAGTTTCAGAAATGGTATGATACATACCCTGTAATCATTCGTGTAGTCATTGAAGATATCAAATACCAAAGATGCCTCAGGAATCTGGCATTAAAGGCTAAACTGTAAAGAAGCCTGCGAGAGGAAGTTCAAATAAATTGTGTCTTCGAAAATACTGTATTGACAAAACACAATGCTTCTATAAGAACTTTTCTGTCAAGCATTTCTCAAACATTAATAATTCAAATTTATTATTTCAAGATGGAGGTTGTTATTCTAATCAAATCTGGTGAAAGCCCCAAATCTGAAAAACAAGCATATAAATCCTTATACCTAAAATACACAGTTTCCATTAACTCAGCAACAAACCACAGGATATAGACCCAAGTCTGCAGTATTCCACAGAATTAAACACATATTAAATAAAAATAACATACAGTCTGAGTTATTTATCTGGAATTTCTTTAAATTCTAATATAGAAAACCACACCAACTAGTTAACAAGTCAGTTCCGTGGTTCTTCTGACATTAACAAACATAGAATTTTTTGTGAAAAGTAGATTAAAATAACTTAAAAGTTAATTTATGCTAGAAGCAACTATTGATTTAAAATTACGTAGTGATTTTACTGGTATATTCTCCATGGCAGACATAAATATAACACCATCAACAGAACAACATCTGTCAGGACAGCTACCTATACACATACAATAATCCATCTGTAGACAGAAAATGGTTTATACACCTACAAAAATAAACGTGTATGTTCACAAGTCAGTTATATACAAGACCAATTTTAACCATATCATTTCAGACATGATTATGGCATGATAAACTTTTTATAGAAATGAGAAATAAAAAGCTTCCTGGAATTAAAAGGTCTCCCCCAGCCTATTTTTTCCCCTTAAGGAAGAAAGATATGTGATAAACATAATTTGAAACAATTAATAATTTCTAGGAAACCAAACAGGATTTGACTGACTAAACTCTCATTTTTCAGATATTGAAGAACTATATTCAGTTAGCTATCCTAAATGCTACTTTCCTAGGTCTCCTAATTACTATTAGAATAAATGAGGTAAAACAGATACTCAGATCCACATCTCCCCTCAGAGGTCAATAGCCTTATAATATCAAAATTCCCTGTGTCCATGCACACAAGAGGTGGGGGGCTGGGAAATGGAAGCAGGGAGGGTAGAGTAGAAGTGCTGCTGCCTGAAAAAACAATATTTATTACGGACCACAGGGATAAATTAAAATTTGCCAGATGGCAGAAAGAAAGGAAGCACACATCTCATTAAGGAAAAAAGCAAAATATGAGTAAACACTTAAGAACATTTGAAAATGGTTTAAGTGGCAATTCATTTAAAGACATTAAAACAAAAAAAAACACAAGAAAACCTACACGCCCACTCACAAACAAATGCTGCATAGTGCCATATGCCTCTGGGTCCTCGCTTACTGGCTACTGAAGCCCTACAGGCTCTTTTTGCTGTGGATACTCTCATGCATCCACACAGCTAGTCCCTTTTTCAGGCTCTCATTTCACATGCATTCACCAAGCCAGTCACATGGACAAGGAATTGTGTGAGGATAAGGTAGCATTAGGAAGGGCAGAACTCCTCAAGAAACAGAAAGGATCAAATTTCATAGGTACGGGGGAGTTTTGGAAACAGAAGGGGGGCATGCAGAAGAAGGGAAAATTAAATACAATCAACCTCTGGTTTGCAGCGCATCGTTGTTGAAATATTCCCCGTTCTTTCAAAAACTTTGAATTTTAAATACATGGATCAGTACCTTTAAAAAAAGTTGGGAGCTTCACATATTCCAGAGAAGTTGCATGTTGGTGATCATCACTAAGTTTGAGCCAAATTTGGAGTAACTGCATCTAATGCCAGTTTAAGATAGATTTTATTGTAAAATTAAATTCTACTTGAAATATGTGGAATTTTTGAAAAAATTCAACCTGGATTTGATACACAGGAATTTTACTTCCTTCTGAAGTCACATTATTTTGACATTTGGGTGGAGATTATGCATTATCATGTAAGGAAGGGCTTATTATATCTAGCTAATTTAGAATAAGGATTTGTATTTTAATGTTTAAATATCTGAATGATAGCTCAGATGTCTTGGTTTCTGAAATGGAAAATTTCCTCAGTGACCTTCAGTTTTCAGCCTCATATTTGAAATGAAAAGTAATTTGGCACAGTGCCGTTAGGTCTCATAGAGCTTCCAAGTAAAAACTAGTTAATTCTACAATCATCCCTGGAAACTGTGTAATAGTTTTAGCAGAAATGAACAAACATTATGGACACTGAACCTATCATAATGTAATTCATTTTTTCATTCTAGTAATATTCAGCAATAATGAAGGGAAAAAAAGGACAAACCTTAAGAGCTTATAATAATAACCTTTGTCTAAGTTTTAGCCATTTTTATTCCATACCCATGATTCAGGCAGTCAATTGTAGCAACCGCTCTATTTCATGGCCCAATTCCAGAAATGCTGAATGAATTCAACTTTCACATTTCCCTTCCCTGAAAATCTGGTTAAATACGAAAACGCAAAATTGGTAGATGATGTTATCATACAGCCTATTTTGTCAATATGTGATACCTATGAAATATGAAGCAGACAAATCATCAATCCTAAAGCTTCCACACTGTTACCATAAAATAAACATGAAACTGCAAACTAAACACGGAAGGATGAATTAGGCCTTGTGTTACAAAAATTTTACATCACTAGATTCACCTGAAATATAATCCATTGTGGAAGGAATGACAACAGAAACAACCTATCACCCTCCCATGCCAAATACAGAAATTGGCTTTCAAAGTAGCAGATAATTGCAACAAAGAGTTCCAAGAAATTGGCTGTAGTAAGAATTTTCAAAATTTTTTGCTTCACACTGAAAAAAAAAAAAAAAACATGAAAAAGCAAAAAAAATTCATTAAAAAATAAAAGCATTGAGAATTGAAATAGTCAAAAGCTACTTCATTTGGTCTTTTTCTTTGGCAGAGAAAAGATGTGCATCTGCTAAAAAACAGCATTTCCAGATAGATCTACATTAAAATGACACAGCACAAGATTATAATTCCTGATAAACTGCAGAACATATCGGGGATAGTTTATATACTCTGAAGACAAAGCATTATCAATCCACAAAGTTCAGAGATCAGTTAATGTAAAGCTTGGGTGTCCATAAAATCTTTAAAAAACAAACAACAAAAAAAACACCCAACAAAAAAAAACAAAAAAAACCACACGAGAAATTAAAGAGAGTACACATTATTTCTTTTTACGTAAATTTTTATAATCTAACTCAGATTTCTTTTTCAGTATTTGCACTACTCTAAAAACAAACCAAGTGTCTAAAGTTTAAACCGTGGGTTTTTATCCATCCCATCTGGTGGTTCTGCATTTTCTTAAAAAATCTCACTGCATACCACCAACAACTTTATTAAGAGATCATTATACATGGTTTTATATAATAGTTTTATATATAATATAATTTATGAATATAATTCATTCATAGATTTTTGGTAAAGTTCAATATTCAGATTTAGCACAGTAGTTTGGAAGAACCATTTTTCAGCTACCAAAAAGGATAAGCTCCTTTCAAATGGCAAAATGCACAGTCTCAGCCACAGCCTATGTTCACTCCAGTGATTTCTGTTAAGTATCTATTTTAATAATATCAAATTAAATTATCTGCTCCCAAAAGTAAGTACATAACGATCATTTATTTAGAACCTTGTTTCTCTCCATAGGTATCTAATTGTCCACAAAGGCCACATGATTTATGTGTACTTGCCAGAACAGTATTTTGGGCACCTCTGGTTTAAAAAAAGCGTCAAATTTCTCTTGCACAATGGGACAGATTAAATGACCCATTAAGCTTAATTTAGCTGAGGCACCACTACAAGTTAATTAGTTAAAGGCAAGATTTTCAGTCTAGGTCATAAATTGGGCCCAGTTTCCCACTGAGACCATTTAAGTTAATGAAGAGAATACACTAGAATGAGAGGAGCTCATACAGTCTTGCAAAAGGTCACTGCTGCCGGGGCAGTGGATTTTGACACTTCGGAACTGCAAGGTGTCACAGGTACAAGACAGCATGCAAAGCCATCGTTGAATGGACTATACCACTCTCTAGGCTGCTTTATGCTTCTGCCTCTCTTCGTATTGGACCAAGAATGCAAAGCAAAGCTTAAAAAAAAAAAAAAAAAGTATACATGCAAAGTTTCTCGTTTTAAGAAAAATACAGCAGTGTAAGAACATTCCCTAAAGAGTGCCTAAAATAACCTCGTGCAAAGCCTAAGTACCTTCAGCACACACACGAAGAGAGGCTGCTCATATTACAACAGCATGTCAGTTTTCCAAACAATTTTCAAGCGCAAGTTAAGATTAGCGATGTTATGTTAATTAAACAGTAGTAACATACAGTCACTATGAAACTGTTAAACCAAGATTAGCAATCACTCTGGGGCACTGATCAGACAGCTGACAGCAACTGAAGTCTCAGTACAAGCACAGTTTCCATCACTATTTAATATTAAAGCCACAGTGATGACCTGAAGTCTATGGTATTAAATTACATCCCTAAATATTTTGCAGAAACATAATTTTCTAGTTATTTAAAAATATAATTTTGATGAACAAAAGTCTTGCAAATATCTTTATAATGAGAACTATGCTCCAAGACTCATGTTTTATCTTTTTTTTTAACTGTATTCAATAATATATATATCAACTTTACAGTGAAAAGGAGAAAAAAAAGCCTCAGAACTATTAAAGCAATAGAAATATTTGTTGTTTCCTCCCTTCCAATGCCTGTGTTAACTTTAGCCTAATTTTCTTTACAGTTACTGAAAAGTTATTTTCAGTTTTTACTCTATTTAGCATCCCACTTTGCAGATTTGCAGCCTTTATATTTTTAATTGTAATTATTTTCTATTACAGTTGTAAATACTGTTAAATAAGCAAAGTCTTTTTAATCTTTTAAACCATTTGACCCAGTATGTTTCCAAACAGAAAATAAAAGCATTTTTGAGCTCTTAGAATATAGTAAAAATAATTTTAAATAAATTATTTCTGCTTAACTGTTTCTACATAGCTTAATTAAATAGATACATTTTACTCTGAATATTTCGTCATTTAGAAGTTAGTTTCAAAACAAGTGAAGCATCCTTCAAAAGACTATCGTTAAATTTGACTAAATCATTTGGGCAACAAAAAAATCATCAGGCAATTAAAAAAAGTGGAAATTAATGATGAAAAATCTTTTAATTGTCTTTTGAAATGGCACAATATTTACTACCTTTAAAACAAGCAACAAATGTCCTTTGAAAAACACTGAAAAATAGTGTTTAGAACAGCTGCTTGGTAACTTAGGGCAGGTCTAAAAGGTACTGAGAACAGGACAAAGGATTGACCCCTCCTGACACGATGATGCCTGTCAAACCCAACACTTAGGATTGACTTGAAAATCAGAACTAGTAATTAAATGTCTACTTCAATTTACCAAATACCTGTATGAATTAACATCGTTTTGACCATGAAAGTAATTCCATAGGTATTACTGACACAAATCGTCCTATCTCTACTACTTATTTCTATAATTAGTACATTCAACTATTTTGGAGCTATTCAGAAGTTAAAATTTCTAAATCGCTTTCTATTATAAGATATTGAGTAGAACTGTCGTAACTCCTGAGTTTATCTAACGTTTAACTAGCTTGTTATCACAAATAATTGCAAAGACCCAATAGGGCTTCTCAGGGGAAACAGATGCCATCCTCATACAATTAAAGTTCTGTGTGACTTCTTTATTCATTAAACACCCTTTTCCACACAGTTCACTAGCAAACCTCAAGTCAAAGCAGTGATGCATTTAAACTCAGTAATTACTATCCAAGGCAATGTACTACTTGCAACAATAAAGCAGGCATACTAATTCAACTGCTATGATCTTCAGGTCTCACATCCTGCTCTAATGCAATTAGTCTACAAAGAACTAATTACCCTAATCGAGCAATCACAGTTTCACTGACATCTTACTTCCTCTAACAGCTATAAACACCATTGGGCTAAGATAGCACCTAATTAGTTTTCTGTATCACTGTTTACAATGCAGTTTGAATTGATTATGTTTACAACATTCCCTAAATACTTACTTTACTACCAGCAACTACATACTTACTCAAAACTACTTGCACCAGAACAGTGTTAATACTTATGGGTCTTAGTCTGATAATAAAAAGGTCAAAAATCTTCCATTGTTGCTGACATTTGTGACTTGCAGTCTTTGTAAAAGAACGCTGTACAAACGAACAAGTCTTTTATCTCCATCTCAGGTGCCCTTCCCAAACAAAAAGTGATTTTCAATAGTTAGGAATCATTTTAATTTGTAGCAAGAGAGATTTTGGCTATATATTAAAGAGGGTGGAGAACAAGTTGGTTTCAGTGCTCAGCTAGCTAGAGTGAAGAAGCTAGCTAGACTGTGGAATCCTTATCACTGAAAGTTTTAAAAACAAGCTAGACAAACTTCTGCCAGAACGACACTTAACACTGCCTCTGAGCAAGGGGATGGATAAACCCCTTTCAAGAATCTTTGTGATCCCTATTTGTGTGTGATTTTCTGACCACAAACACTATCTGTTCTGTAGTCCTCGATGTGGTGATAGAATATTAACTCATCTGCAACTCGCTAAACAAACCAAGAGCTTACGCTTTTGGATTCAGTGATAACTCCCCTAGAGAGCACAAAGAATGAGAAGAAAAAGAAGAAACAGGAAGAATCCCCTCTTGGTTTGCCTGGAATTATTATTCAGATTCTGAAATTCTTACTTAGTTCAGCTGATCATAAAAGAAAACACAGGAGAAAAAAAAAAACCACAGTGTATTTAAAGCAACTTTACCTAACAAAAACTATTTTAGATGTACTACAGCTCAACATCACTATTACTTATACTTGCCTGACTTTTGGCACCATCATTCGGTGTTGTACCATTAGCGTGTGGCAGATTGATGCCATCAGGGTAAAGACTTCTTCACTAGCTGAATCTCTCCAAACCATATTCAGTAGAGTATTTGTCTGCTGCTTTGTATCCAATTTCTTCAGACACTCCTCAGTTACGTACTGAACTGATATTCTCCCATCACCCTAAAAACATACCAAAGAAAAATTTGCTTTAAGTCTTTTTAATGATTAAGTATCCCCTTTTTAAAAAATAATAGTTCAGAATTTTCCTAGAACATAGTTTTCTTGTACAATAATTAAAACGTAAGCACATATGTACGTCCCAGTAGCATTCTTAAAAGTATCAGACCCAAGAGCCAACTTAAATCCCTACATAGGCAACTGTTGGGTTGTGGTATCCATCTTTTCACTTAAGCCAGTGGGAAAGACTCCTTTTAATGTAAGGATGTTCTGCAACACTTGGGTACAACAAGGCAAAATCATTTACTGACATAAAATACGCAAATGGTCATCTCTTCCCCACTGACATCAGTCAGCATTGGAAATGAAATCCAGAAATGGATGTATTTTCACATTCATAATCCATGTGTTAACAAAAAATAAAAAACTTCAGGGTGGCTAATACACGTTTGGGTATTACCAGAAGAGTACAAAGAGGAATATTCCTCTTGGCATAGAACTCAGTGCAGCTGAACCTTTTATTTTCCTTATTTCCTCTCTTTATCTTGCCCCCAAAAGAGCAAAGCAGTCTGGCTCATTGAAGGATACAAGTTATCAGATGACGAATTTTTAAGAAAGAGCAGTTCCCCACCCACTCCCCCCCCCCCCCCCCCCCCCCCCTTTTTTTTTTCGTAAGACATGCATGCATGAAAATATGGAATACAGAAAAAACTCACAGGAGAAACACATGAAAAACATACTGCAATAAACAGTATTATCTATTAAAGCCTCCTCAGAGGAGATTTTCTCTAATTTACAAATTACTCTAAGTTACCTGTGAACAGGAATTTATACTTTGTTTTTACCTAATCACCACTTAAACATCACCAATACCTCTACGCCGCAAGTGGAATCTGCCAGTATTTACATCACATACAGTGTATGCATGTCTGGCAAATTTAAGTATTTTATTCACACTATCTTGGTAAAGAATTTGCGTAATGGTAACACACTGCATTTAAAAATGCACAAGTAAAAGGTTGCATGTATTCCCTAGCAGTATGGCTCTTTATAAGAGGTTATTCTCAATACCAAGCTCTTAAAAATGCCACATCTTTCAGAAATGTGCATCACCTTACATGAAACATAAGTAGGCATTATAGGAACAGTATCTCTTAGAAGAGCTGGTATACTTTTGCTTTCAACACTTAACTAAGAAAATGCCAGGAAGCCGTAGAATGCCTAGAAGAGACAGAAATCCAGAATTCCCAGCTCAGTGTAGGGAGGCAAAATAATCTATGACACTTTTTTTTTTTTGTTTTAAATGAACACTAAATATTGTGAAATTTCACACATTCCACAAGGAAAGACTGTACGCTGCATAAGTCCTACAAATGGTAGCATCTTTTGAGAGATTATATAAAGGCCAATAAGAAATTGTTGAATTTAAGTGTCTCCAACTTTGGTTGTTCAAAGCCTTGATCCAAGTAAAGCTAGCAGAGATTCATTTTATTATTGGAAGTTTAAACTATAGTGAAAAGTTCTTTTTATAAAAGTTATTATATTATGTATTATAATAAATCCATTATTAGAGAAAGTAGGTATTCTGCTTTTGATGGCTTTCATGCTAGTGGATATATTTAAATACAGAGCTAATTCTATGGTGTAAAGACTGTAGCTGAATTTGTAGTATTTCCAGGAGAAAAAACAATGAAGATACATCAGATGATCCGATTGGTGTGTTTCATGTTATCTTAGCATCATCACGGACTTAAAGAATAGAGAGACTAATACAGTCTCTGTAAAATACAAATTTAAAGAAGTTTAAACTTTTTTTGTTAAAGAAAAGCTCTGTCCTTCAGTAGACACACTACCTGTACTTTAACATTTCCTATTATATTAAGCGGACTGTTCTTAATATAAGCAACCAGTTCCATTTGTTTACAGTGAGCAGCCATCTATTTTTAAGAAGTAAACATGCTCCCTTCTACATGTAGCTAGAAAAATACCAGACTTAACAGTGATCATGGTTTTGCCCATATTTCTGCCTCTGTAATACAAATTCATTCGAAGAAATTCTATAATGCTTACTGGTGTAGTTGTCATTTTACTGATCTCTTCATCCTCATCTTCAGAGTCACTGTTTGCATCTTGACAATTTGTACCAGCAGTAGACACAGGGAGCTGAGAGAGAAAAGTTTGGAGTACCCTCAAATACACAAGAAGTCCTTCCTCTGAAAGGGATCCTATAGCACATACATTGAAATAAAACATCATTAGCCAGATCACACTGTACTATACAATACAATACATTTTACCAGAAACACCCAACCAAAACACATTATGCCAAATATTCCCAAATTAAGTGGGTTTTTTACTGAAAAGGCTAAGAATAGATAACAAAACAGTATCTCCAGTACTTCTATCCACAAACGGTCCTTTTTGCTTGGCAAAAAAAAATTTCCACACTGTGGAAATACATAACATATTAACTCAAATATGAAAAAACGAAGAATTGGCCATTTAGCTTTCTCACCCAAGTATGTTTCTCCAACTGTTAACACAAAGTAAAAAAGCCACGGGGCTTGATCACTTCTTCTTGAACATCCACTTTCTGCTAATAATAGTGCATTCAGAAAGAGTTCATAAGGGAAAATGGTCTGCACATCAGCAAGCGCTGGAATGATGAAATGGAATATCTGATCTGTAAAAGGTGCTGCCAGAAACTCCTCTGTGAAGGCTGCAAAAATCTGCTGCCTGAAATGAAGAAAACTTGTCTTTATAAAAGATACAGGCAAAATTTCCCACAACGATATCTATGGAATAATAGATCAATCTGCATGTTTGAGTATGTCCATCAAGACAATTGCAAAGATGCGCTCAATGAATCCTGTGCTAATAAAACTAATTTCTCAGGTTTCTCAAAAATGAACTTGTTACACTACATGCTTTTCCTCATGATCTTACATGTAATTTTATCCTTTAAACTTTTTATGAACTCACAGAAAACGATTCTGAAGTTAAATTCCTTGGGTTTACTCTTGAAATAAAAAATAAGATAAAAAAGCAACTAATATTTTTCCTCCAAAACACTACTTTAAAAACCACTACCATATGTGAGACAACCAGAGTTTCATTTTTGTTCCATCTTTCTACATACCTGATCCTTCCTTCTTGTAAGCTACGACTTAGTTATTTCTCTTCATAAACCTCAGCTCCTCTGTCACAAAGTTCTTTTTAACTTTAAAATTGTTTTCATCTGCCCTTAGCTGCATTTCTGCTCTCATCTAATTTTTCCCATGTTTCTACATATTGTGATACCTGCTATTCTGTGCTCTCTTTGTTGTAGTCTTCAGCATTTTATTGCCTTTTTCTTAAACACACCTGAAACTACATTGTTTTATTGATGAAAAGCATTACAAAAAATCATTATTACTGCAAATAAATCAACAAACTGCACTGAAAGAATAGCTAGACACTAAACAACAACAAACTGTGCACCTCTGACAGTAACAAGTACACAAATATCTAGTATTATCTTTATTTACCTTGCACCTTCTGGACAGGAGCTATATGTAAAGTGCAATGGCTTCAGAACATTCTCCAGAAGTATTTTTGCAATAGGGACTCGAGAAACATCAGAATACTCAATACTCGAGGGAAGCTTATTGTTAATTAACAAATAAAGCGACTTGTAGTAGCCTGCAAATAAGAAATACCACTTTTTAAGTACAGTATTATTTTCCTTCTTTTCCACATAGAACAACTTATATACTCAGTATCTTTAACTTGAAAAATACTTCACAATTCATGGTATGAAGCTTTACTTCGGAAGACGTTTTACCACAGTCCAAGTCACATTCGCATAACTGACAGGATACACCAACAACCTCTTTGAAAACATCACTTTATAAAATCATAAATAATTGCATGCAGATTCAGGTTGATTTTTCAAAGACCAGCCACTCCTGCTGATGAAGTTAATAATTTGATTTTTTTAAACAATGACCTATGAAAAAGATACTCTCTTCTCCTGTAAGTGACTCTAGTCATGTTTTTGATAACTGTCCTTCCACCCTTTCAGAAATGAGTTTTCCTCCCTACTCCAAAACATGACTGCATCAGACAGGTTAGAGTCCTGTTGGCAAAATGTCTCAATTCTATAAACAACTTGCCTTAGCAGGCTGAAGAATACAATTACTGTTTCCAAAACAGGGATCTCTCAGACAGTAATAAAATGCATTACCACCCAAGCCATAAAGACATGTGTAGAGGGTAATCTATTTTGTCTCACTAAAGTACCAGTGGAACCACGTGATTTCATTCTTCTTAAACCAAATTCCTCTTGCTCAATGAACTCCTAAACTAAGACTCAAGTTCCACTACTACAGGAGCCACTACAAATGCATAAATAGCGTCGCATTATCGAGAGGTCCAGTCTAAGACCCTGTGTTGGGGACTACTGAACTTGACATACAATGCAACAAGTGGAAGTCACCATGAAGGAATAACTTAGCAATGCTGACAAGACGCATATGGAAAAGAAATTACATACAAAAACATATACTAATAAAAGCTGATTACAGATTCTTTACAAATTAACCATCATAAATTATTAGGAGATGGAACACCTGTAGTTGCACACAACTGCTTCTTTTTGTTTCGACTGTGATCAGAAAGCTGAATTTGTTTACTTAAATTTATGATCTAACGTCTTGATAAACTTTCATCTATCAGTTATGAGGACTGAATATTATACTAAGCATACAAACTATAATGTATTAAAGTATTTTGGAAGATAAGTAAGCAATGGGACAAATACTTCTATAGTTTTAGTTATGCCTGGCAAATAAAATAAATGTGCTACAATAACAGTAATTTTTTTTTCCTCATAGTGACTTCAGCATGTAGTAGTTAAAACCTTAGTAACAGGATAAGATAGCCTAATCCCCTGAATGTAATTTAAAACTTAAAAACATAGAATTACTCCAACAACTAACTAACAATCTGAAAGGTGCTCTTTTTACATTTTATACCAACGAAGCTGGATCCGAGATCTTTATTTCATAATGTTTTTGTCTTTTCTCCCCATCCACAAAGTCTTGCAAACTCAAGCTATGGCATCAGAAAGCCAAATTAACTTTTTTGCACATTCCCAGAGTAATAAAGTTTCTTTGAGACAAAACATAAATTTGGAGATAACCACACGATTCATTAACTTTCAGTATGTTTGCACAGGTGTAACTGATTGCAGTTTAGCAAACAGTTTTGCTGATGATGGTACACGGGAAATAGAAGCTAGGTCACAATCTCTTTGCTAAGGTGTCTCTAGTGTTAGCAGGATGAAAAGGTAATGCCAATTTGTGACAATAATGAACGTTTGCAGTTACAGAGTACTGCAAAACAATGCCCAACAAAATTGCCCCACAACTAAAGCTTAGACCTTAGCAGTGGGTGTGGGTGTGTCTCTGTAAACAGCTACTGGAATAAAACTTCTGTTAGGTAATACCCACCAACTCTCAAAATCTGTGGTAAAAGTCTGCATAAGTAACATGATAGAATATTCAATTTATAAACAGAATTTCCAAAGAAATCAATCAGTAGTTTCTCAAGCAGTGATCTCATTACAATCAAAATATTCATCTAATGTATAGGTTAGTGCATGCAGCACTTAATTCATTGTGTTAGTGGTAAAGGCAAAACGTGATTCAACAACATAGTCTCCAGGTGTTACACATTCTGTTTAATTTTTGAGTATTTCCCAGAACTTCTAGTTCCTAGCTACTCACCTTTTTGAATCATGTAGTGCAAAATTTGTTCAATTAATGATGTCACATAGCTGACATCTTGTAAAACAGGCAAATATGTATTCTCAGATGAAAATACCTCAAGCATTCTCATAGGAAGTGCAACATTCAGACTGTCATCATTGCAATTTTGCAATAGCCTATAAATGAAATCAAATCAAAATTATTTAACAAGATATTTCACTTATTTCACCACAGGCATACACACACTGATTTAAAAATAAAACTACAAAAAAACCTTTTCACATTCACCTTAAAATAACTCATTTCTACTTGGTTTCCAAGTGTTCTCAGTAGTTTAGCTACATCTTTTTGTTGGCACCTTTATTATAATAATTCCTGATTTTAGGGTTTCTGTGAATAAGGCACAGTCTCTTTAAATCCCACTAAATTCTTGGTTCCAGTGACTTGACAGTTTGGAGGTCTACTGCATGAACTGGAAGAGAAGCAAAGAATAATACATGTTTTTCCAACATGTATTACTACCCATATTAAAAATGAATTCATGAAAGCCCCAGAGCAATATGGGCTGGGAACAAACACTGGGGAATGTCATATGTACAATTAAAACAGTATGTCCTTGGTTATAGATTGAAATATTAAAAATACAACCATCCCCATCCTTTTAGCAAATTGCTTATGAAACAACCACTGGTAACACAGAAGTGGTGAAGATTAAGAGCCTGTTTAGAATTAAAAGGATTTGTCAGTATGAGATCTATATAGGCATAGTTGCCCTGACAACATGATTTCTTTCCCAGCCATTCAGAAATGAGCAAAAATTATTTTGACACCATAGCTAAGACATTTCACTACACAGAAAAAAAGATACTCCAACAAGACCTTTTTTGCAGATGTAGCTGCAATCAAACTACCATTTTTGCTACGATATTACACAGTCAACTTTTATCCATAGCATCAAAAGCTGCAGCTTCTCATGAACCTGAACTCATCCCAGGGAAACACTTTTTTGTCTACCTGTCCCACTGCCTTCTTTTCTGGGCTCTTGCAGAAAATTAAAGTAGCTCAGAAAGCAAGTATAGACACCCATCATTGTGCTGGCAAGGTGAAGTTAAGAAGAGCTTCTTCCTCTGTTCTCCCTACAGGCATAGGCAGGGACAGCTCTTCCACTCCTTTTGCTTTCCCACATCACCCAGTCAGGAAGGGAGAGTAGGAATACTAACATTTACAAAACCGCATTTTCAACTGAAATGAAAATTGTACCATTCAATCCAGTGACACCACAGCTGTGTTCCACCACTCAAGTACTCTTTAGTATCCAGTGTCACTGTTTATTATATATATAGTATACACCATTATAAGAACACAAGGTTCAGTCATTTGAATGAAACAATTTTCTAAAAAAGCCTCAACATTAAAAGGGGAAAAAAAACCCCTATTTTAAAGCTCCGGAGAGTATAACTAGTTCCTATTGTTGATAGGAGCAAGTATATTGCTTTCTAAAACTAGGCTTTAGCTCCCAGATATTCAAGTCACCTTGATAGATTTACCTTCCCGTGATCCTCCCAGCATCCTTCCCCTACAAATAACAAATGCACTGCTGAGGCCAGTAATGTAACTGCTTAACATGCCTTAAACTCATGTGAATAAAGCGTGAGGAAGGCATTTTAAACAAATGTTAGTTTTAAAACAAAATATATCCAAAGCATAGCCTAGGAAACATCAGTCTAACTCAGGTAATACCTTCTAATCACCATCAGTTCCCAAGAAAAACTTCTGGTTTCCACAAATACCCTTATGATATCATTATATGCAAACAGTTAAGAGCATCCCTAGGTAGGACACCCCTTAAGCACACGTTGAACTTGAAAGTTAGTTCCACTGATCTTACATAGGAACAAGTATCCTATGCTATGGCCTACAGATATATTTAACACAAAGATTCCACTCCATAAGATAAATTTACATTTAATACTTTACCTGCTGGGGGGGGAGGGGGAGGGGACACACCAAAACCAAAAGTGCCCAACATAATTTCTGAACACTTTTTAGACAGTAGCATATAGAAAAAAAGAATTTACCTGCAACAGAGCCCCAACAGTCTTTTTATTTGGAATAAGCAAGTAAGTCTGTCTGGACCATCCAATTGCTTAACAAACTGAGAACTGTGTTTTATTAAATTCTGACACATCCATACCTGGGAAAAAGATATGCATAAGTTTACTGTTTATACCAACAAGTTCTACTATCTATTGCAACACAGACAGTAATATTTCAATCCTGTTTTGGATACCTTTGGAGGACTTAAAAAACACAAAGTAAGACAATCATGTTCAGCTGAGAAAAAAAATTTGTTACACAACAGAAACTACATGACCGCTAGTATTAAGCTTTCAAAGTGACGACTGTATTACACTTGCAAATAACTACTCTTGCAAGAAATTTATCTGTTAATTTTTTGTTTTTAAATAGCCATAATTAACTTTAATGTCCATTATTAATACCCCCCATGAATCATACTTACTCATACATTTACATCGGTGTCCCTGCTCACTGCAGGGGGGTTGGACTAGATGACCTCTAGGGGTCCCTTCCAACCCAAAACATTCTATGATTCATTCTCCGATTCAGGAAGTTTGCAGTGAGTTCGCAATTGATATGCCAGCATTACTGACCAATGAGGAAAAAAAAAAAAACAAAAAAAAAACCAAACACCTCAGGAATGACCAGAGGGCTAAGTGGAATTTTAAGTTATTCTGTCTAAACAAAAAACAGCAGAGTGCGGGCAAGCAAAAGCCAGAATTCTTAAATGAATTTGCTGAACCAGTCAAAGCCTTTTCTACATCACTTCAAAATCTTTTAAGTGAAAGAATACTTTAAAAGTGCATGAAATAAAACTACTACAGATGAAAGCGTGTAACAGTACTCACCAAACGCTTAGAATCCTCATTCTGTCTATAGAAAAAGAGTAACTGACGAACTAAGAGAGTCAAATTAGCTCCATTAGCAGTGGAAAAGGTTCCTCCAGATTGGGCCAAATTAGCACAGCGATCAAATTCACTTCTTTGGATAGAGTACTTAAAAATAAGACATGCATCAATATATCAGTAATGGTTATGATTTAAAATATAGATGAAAAATTTTTAAAACTCATTTCAGTTTCCCATCCAGAGTGGTAGCAAAGTAGTAAAATTGATGAAACTCTTTGTTAAGAGATCAAGACATACACACAATATCATAGTTAAGGCCATAACTGCTTTCTGTAATTCAAAAAGTACACATTGCAGCAAATTTGTTGCTTCTCAAGTAAAGACTATCACATCAAAGGTTTTCATCCAGCTTAGTCAATAAATATTAGTGAATTTAAACAGATAGAACTCTTTCTTAAGATAATCTAGCCAACAGCAACTTAGAAAGAACATCTTTTTGACTCGAACTACCACCGTAGTCATATGGGAAAAAAAAAAGCTCCACTGCTGTGTGAGAGCTTCTAATACCTAACTGTTTTCATATGCTTTGTCAGCTAAAAAAGCATTGCATAATCCCACTTAAGTCCACTGTCACATACATGCTTTGCAGAATAAACGTCCATCTACTAAAATACTGAGGTTCAGATGAAAGTGTCAAGAGGGGAAAAAGAATTTGCATTTTGTGGGCACATACAACACTCAAAAAGGTAAAGAAGTTTAATGGAATTACTTATTATTAGAAAGTCTCGTTTTCAGCAAAACTGTTTTACATCTTTCTAAATAAATAAATATTTACTTGATGTTTTCTGTCTCTGTAGCCTCTTACAAATGACTGGATTATTATTGCATTTTTCAGCCTCCGCCTTTCTTCCTGTAAAACAAAGGAACAAAACAGAAATCAGTATTGTGGAACTGACTAATTTCTACAATGTTATCAAATATATTTGTATTCAAGAGAAATTTTTTTAATGAAAATTAAGCACTAATCATTAGTAAAATGAAGGTTTGCATCCACTATACACAAAACGGGGAGAAAGCTTTTCACGTTTTTAAGTGTAAATTTACCATTACGATATTGCAAAGAATTCTTAATACTCGGTAAGAATGCAATACTACAGAAATCAAAATAAACATATTTGTATGTTATTAGACAAAGTCTTAATACTAAAATGTTGAAGAATTCATCAAATTCAATGACACCATTCCTCCTTCTGCATAGATCAGCTAACACTGAAGACCTGCTTATTTGTTTCCACTCAAATAATGTATCAGTATCACGAGGCTGGTGCAGTTTAGATGGGGGGGAACCAACCACCCAAAAAAAAAAAAAAAAAAAGTTATTTCGAGACAATACTGCCATCAAAAGGAAAATGAGGCTTAATGTTTTAAGCCCAGGAGCACAATAAGGAAATTAATAAAAATTCTTGCTCTCGCCTTCAAAACAGACATATAAAGTGAAGTAATTTTATGATGTCTTCCTCAATAACTCTAAAGAGTAGTTAAAATTATCATATTTCAATGGCTCACTTTCTGAGGAACTGAAAGCCAGCTTGCTTCAGGTACTATGGAAGGAGCACCTAGTGAGTTCCCTGACAACACCCCCAGCATATCCGATCACAATAAATACCTAAGGGAAGTGGCTACAGTAATTAGGTTTCTAATAATGTCTGTATAGTTTCTTAGGGTATGAAAGAAGGAAGTAAATAAAATAGTTGATCATGACCCTATAGCTACAAAGCAGTGACTGAGGAAGGGAAAGTAGGAAGATTGAGACTAAAATCAGAGAAGCCTGCTTTGAGAAGAGAAATTTTAACCTCATCAATCCTTGAACTATAATGAGCTCGTAATTCTGAGGACCACCAAGCAAAACAAAACACCAAAATGTTTTTACAAATTTCATTAAAATATATTCACATATGTAAGTTCACATAAACTTTCAACTCGCAAAAACTTGATTTCTAATTTATTGTGCCATAAAGAGACATCCAACTTAAGAACTTAACCTGAACTGACCACAGAAACACCAGATGAATTTGCTATTCAATGCCTATTTTATTGTTCTTGGAAACCTCAGTTCCTAAAGTAATTTCTCAGAATAAGCATATACTTGAAAGGCTCTAATTACCTCTAAAGCATGGACCAAAATAAAAATTTTAGGCAAAAGGGTATTTTTCTCTCCAAAGTGTCTAACAGTGCAAGTGCAAAGTATGGGGGCAAGCAGGAGAGAGTTTCAATTACAGAGAGGCACTGTCTCTTCATAATCATAACATAATGCTCGACTAAAAAGTAAAGTTCTCCTTTCCTCTCCTTACAGGTTTTCTCCTAGAACACGTAATTGTCAGTTAGCAACCCATAATTGCAAAGGTTTTAAGTCTGAGGTCACTGTTAAGATTCTGCTACAGGCATTTTTTTAAAAGCCATAGCTGATTTTATTCTCAGAGGAGTCATTCATTTTGCGAAAATCGTTGTTGTGTATGTGTGTACGTAAACAGATACAAGTACATGACTCCGCATCAGCCTTGCAGCAGACACAATTAAGCAAATGAATGGGTTAATTTAATATAAGGCAAAAAGTTTATGAAGCACAAAAAAGACTTTTTGTGTATGTTGGTAAGGACTCCCTGATCATAAATCTGGCTCATAACACAGCATTCTGAACCAACTGGTGAAATCTTAGTAACTTCATAACTATACATCCAGGTTGGAAAGAAAAAAAAGCAGTAACTGTCCTTAGAAACAGAGGAGCCACTGCAGAACCTGTATTTAATCTAGCAAGGGTCAAAAACATCTTTAAGGGGCAAACAGCTCTGTTTTCTTGATTAGCATGAAAACTACACAGTTACACTTTTTAAATAATTTTTAAGACCAAAATTGTTTCTATTCATATCAGAGGGGAAAAAATGACAAAAATTAACATATTCACTTTTATTCCATATTACTAAATTTTGTTTTCATATTGCCACATGTATTAATGTTTTAAAACTGGTATTTTTCCCTTCAATTCCTATCCCTCCTTTGCATTTTTCCAGACTGAATTATCCATGTGAGTAAGCTTCAATCTCAAACCAGTGCTACGATTTCCTAAAGCCTCACAACTGCTTCTCAGTGCTCCTCAATTATCAGGTGATTTCAAAGCACTTTAGGATGCATTCAGTATCATTGTTCTGATTCTACCTCCGCAGAACTGAGGCACACACTGGGGAAGCCAACTGCTGAAGGTCATCCAAGAAGCTTTAGCAGAACCAGGAGCAGAAGAGTTTGCCAAGACCAACCCATAGTAACAGATTATGGACAAGGCAAAAAATGCAATTTACTATCTAAATACCTGTCGTTTCTCAACAAAGACTAGATCAAATGAGCACCAAAATAAAAACTCCCTTTGAACCCAGTGCAAACTACCTTCTTTTGAGATGAAAATCACTTCTGGGAAGCACCTTAAAAGCAGTCAAACAATTTGTCAATTCTAGTATACTGGAAGACTATGTAGAACTTGCAAACTGAAACAAAACATTCCTGAACTAAGTACAACTGTAGCAGAATAAAGTCCTTTGGACTGTTAAGTGTTACTACACCAAAGAAAAATCCAGTGTGCATGCAAATGCTTACAGTCTACTTTACCTCTCGTTTTCTCCTTTCTTCCTGAGTACGATGCAGGAGAGAAGCCTTTTCTTCCTGTAGAGCACAAATAAAAGATACGATTGCATTTTCATTCAAAAACATGATTCAAATGTGCTCGTGATATTTAATCCAGACTTCACTTTGGGGATTGTTCATAATATATAACACATAAACCACTGGAGAAAAGCAAGCGTTAATCATTTTCCACTCTTACAAATGCATGTAACGCAGCCCCCTCAAAAGCATAGTGACAGAGGGAAGCTATGTAAAAAGGGACAGGCAAACAGCAGCAAACTGTACTGATCCCTGCCCACGCTTTTCTCAGAACCCCAATAATCTAGGCAAACATCATCCATTTACATTTGGGGGACCTGAAACATAACAGGGTCTCAATCTCAGCAGGTAGCACCAAACGTTTATCAAGTGTTTTCCTTGCTTGGAGCACACATACCTGATTGGCCCAGATGCGTAGAGCAAGTTGTGGCATGCTCGAAGTAGTATCATACTGTTCCAAAGCCTCATGCTTTTGTCTAACTTGCAAAAAAGCATTAAACTCTGATATTTACCTATCCTTTTCCTCAAAACTTGTCTGTTTTGACATCTTTTCCAGACATACAAAATAAAGAGTAGGAATTTTTTTTTAAATGTTTTAACTCTTCTCCCAAATTATGGCTACAAACTGAAACTTTCAGGACAGTGACCTCTCCAATAAAGCAAAAGAAAAGAACACTGAAGTATTCGTGAGGCCTCTAAAGAACGATACCATTACAATAGAAAACCTGTGCATTAGCTTTTAAACCACAATCTTAAATCAGTACTCAAGAGACTACAAAATATAAACAAAGCTTTATTTGCAAGAATCTCTTACTGGATGGTTCTGTGTAGTTTCCAAGGAAATATACAAAATAACTCCCTTTTAATGCAGATTATTCAGCTCCCACTGCAGACAGCAAGAGTTGAAAGTACCCTGGCACCTTCCCAAATCCAGTCTAAAACAGACAGTAAATTTAAGGAAACTATTTTCTTCTTCTGTCTATATGACACATATAACTACTTCCCTTTTCTCCCTATGCCCTTATCAGTCTAGAGAAGTTAAGAAATAAAACACTCAAGCTGAAAACATATTATATTTGAATACATAAAAATAAATTTGAAGTTAGCAAACAAATGCTTATAAAATATTTAACCACACCTAAAACAACTGTGCTGGAATTTTTTCAATGTCTATATGCAGATCCAAAAATTGAGGGCAAAACTCTTCTGCATTTCCTTTTTGACGATATAGAGGAAGCAAGGTCATGATTCTCCTAGTTTCTTTAGGGTAGAAAATACTTTAACGCAGACCACCAAGGGAGAATGAAAAAAGAAAAACATAGGCGCAAAAAAAAGAAGAATTTAAAATTGGGTTTGTATTTCAGATCATTTCCTGGAGCAAGCATAAAGAAAAAAAATCCCACAAGAAGGTTAACCATCTTTTCCTCTAACAACGGTATTTATGTCCAAAGACACCACTAACTACAGCTATTGCTCTCTAAAGACAGTTTTTTTCCATGTGTTAAACACAGTATAAACAAATCATAGCAAAATCCATACATAAGATGATGTATCTCCACTCAAGCAACAGGAAAGGCTCCAGGTCTACTTGGTAATGCGAGGCAAGGAGATTCTGACCTCACACACACAAGAAGACAAAATAATGTATTAAATTAAGAAATAACCAACAGATGGCTTCAAGTTTCAGGACTTTTTTTTTTTTAATAGATTACTTCTTTTTCAACAGCTGATGCCCAATGCATTAAAGAAGTTAGGAAAATGTTCCTATTTAGAAGTGATCAGTTACATCTCTTCAATGTGCTTGGAGAGTTTCATTCTATAGGCAGCGCAATATAGGGAGCATTTCTGCTTAGAAGCAATGCTGCTGAATTTGCCCTTACACCTCAGAGTGGACTGAAAGAAAAAGTGAAAGAACATACAGAAAGGGAAGACAAATTGCTACATGTAAGTGGAGAAGGAAATGATACAAAAAAATACACAGTAAATGCAAGGGATTAGTAGATAAAGGAAAATAAGCAGATAGGGGGCTTATCAGAAACAAGTAATTTTAAGTATT